ATTTTTTTGGGGGGGGTGTAACTCCGCAGCAGTCACGAAAAGAGTTCGAAATTGCACTTCAGGCACTCCCCCTACCATAACACACCCCCACATGACCCTACCGGACCGGAAACCTAGATTGTACAGGCCTTTTGCCTGAAGTGCATTTTCAAACTCAAAACCTGACTCCGCCATAGTTTGCCCTTTTTTGGGAAAAATAAAGTTTTTTGGGGATGAAAATATATATGTATTTTTTATTATATATAACTGAGCTATATTCTTCTCTCAATTTATTATTATTATTATTTTTTTTTTTAAGTATGCTACATTCTTCTCTCAATTTCACCTCACAATACCTACCTACCACTACTCCTAATTGTAGGCATGCCGGGAACCCAGTAGCAGCCAGAACCATGTTCACGAGAGAACATGCGGGGGCTGCTCCCGACCTGCAGGTGGGCGGTACTGGCTAGGGGACAGTCGGTAGCATCAGGGACCATGCCAACAGGACCAATCCATGTGCCTCCCTCAGGTCCCCTCCCCCACGAACATCAGCAGACTCTGCTCAATGCAGATCAGGGTTTCCTATCTTTTTTTCTTTTTTTTTTAAAAAAGGGCTATGGCCTTGGTGTTTTATTGTCGGACTGACCAGCCCACGTAAATTCAATCATGTTTCTAGTCTGACACCGGGTGGCCTTTTCAGCCCAGGGTGGCCTTATTGCCATCAGGGAACCCCCAGCGGGAGACACTGTCCAGGGGACAGGACCGAGCATCATCTGAGTGGCCAGTTGCTGTGCCTCCCTCATTACCCCTCCCCCTGTGAACATCGGCCGAGACTTCTTTTTAATGCCAACTGGGGGGACCAGCGGGCAGTCTCCAGGTGGCGGGTGCCAAGCATGCCCAGGAAGGTCCATGAGGCCAATGGGGTTTGAACCCATGACCTCCTGAATGCCACTTGTGCGCCTTACCAACTGAGCTACCTACCACTACTACTAGTAAGTTTCAATTATATTACCGATTATTGCAGCTCTGTACCCTGAGGAAGCCCACAATTCACAGCCACGTGGCAGCATTTACAGCCGCCTGGCAGCTACAGTGGCTAACAGGACGCTTCATTGTGGGCTTCGTTCATTGTGCCAGGAAGCCCACAATGAACGGCTGTTACCTGCCTCGTGGCGAACTCGTGCATGCATGTACCATAAGATACTAAATGACGGGCTTCATTAATTGTGGGCTTCATTCATTGTGGGCTTCTGTTGATAAACACATGAGAAGCTTGAATCCTCCGGAGGCGTAGGGCCCTACGATAAGATAAATGGGCAGCCAGCCGGTCAGGCGAGTTGAACCAGCTGTGGGTCCTAAGCAGCCTCTCAATGGACTGATTTTTCAGTTGTTTATCTTTTTCTTTATTCATTTTTATGCGCGAGGGAGGGGGGTGTCGGGGAGGGGAAGGGCGGAGGACGGATCATGTGAGCAGTCGCTACGTGATGGCTCTAATTTGGTTTTGTTTTTGCTTTTTTCCCCAAAAAAGAACACATGTACTGCTCATGAAAAGATTGTGAGGTATCCTGGAAGAAATCCAGCGACCTAGCTCAGTTGGTTAGGCGCACAAGTGGGATTCAGGAGGTTATAGGGTTCGAGCCCCACAACCGCCTGCGGCGCACTTAGTGCCAACCTGTGGTGATAGTCCGCTTGATACCTCTGATCGGTATTAGCAGGGTCCTTGGCCAACACGGGTGTGAGTGTGAGTGTGAGTGGCTTGTGTGTGGTGTGTGGTGTGTGGTGTGTGGGAGAGTGTTGGGCTAAGACACTGCTGTTATCCGGTTGGGGGTGGGGGATGATGAAAAGGGAGGTGCAGCTACTGGGAAAATAGCCGAACCCCCACTGGCGGCCCCACCCCATCTTTGACCACCATGGATGGGGCGGGGGGCAACATGCATCCTCTCTGCTGGCTGGAGGGAGACAACAAAGCAATGTTGGCAGGGGTCCCCTGTATAAGCCTTAGGAGTAATGGTAGGTAGGTAGTGAAGCTGATTTGAAAGAATTGGAAAGATGATAAAAGATTTGAGAGAAGAATATAGTGTAGTTTTCAAAAGGGGAGGAAGGAAAAAAAAAAAAAAAAAAAAATCCCAGAAGAACAGCTGGACCCAGAACAAAAGAACAACCCTCAACAAAATTACCCCCTCCCAAGAGAACTCCTTTATGTCTAGGAGTCTCAGAAGACTGTCCTTAGCCTACCCAAGTAATGTTCCCGTCTTATATTAGCCGTAGAATACCACCGCCAGGATAGAGGGATATCGCAAGGGCTATTTTCCCAAAAAAAAAAAAAAAAAAGGGGGTCTATGGCTCTAATTTACCAGGGAAGTGGTCCCACTACTGGGTAGCAAAGAGGATTGGATCAAGCGCCTGAATGTGGACGTCTTTATGCAAAGATGCAAAAAAGAAGATGAACAGCGACGACGTCCTGCACCTCTCCAACACGTCCAGGTTCAAGCGCAAAATCTAATCCCCTTTGCTACCGTCCTCTCCGCCCGGTCATTATCGCTGCATCTGGACTTAAAGTTGTGCCAAATGCAGCTATAATGACCGGGCGTTCTATTTGGGGGAAGACGGTAGTGGGACCTTAGCCCAGACAGATCTGAAACTGAAAGGGGTACGATTCTCCGCTCTTCGGCTGTCTCAGGGGATAGTCACAGTGCTACTTTCCTAAATGCATCTGACGGCAATTACGGCCACACCTGAATGTATCTGACCGCGATTACATCCAGAAATAAGTAAAAAGAGTGGCAGTGTGAGTATGCCCTCTGCCCTCTCTCCCATCCAGCCAGCCAGGCAGCCAGCCGGGCAGCGAGCCACGTTGTAAGCCCGCTGAGTCAGCCCGCTCGCTGAGTCAAAGCATCTTACCAAAAAAAAAAAAAAAAAAAAAAAAAAAAAAAAAAAAAAAAAAAAAAAAAAAAAAAAAAAAAAAAAAAAAA